AACGGTTTTTGGGCGGTTTTGAAATCTACCGGTTCTATACCACTAACCGGACTGGTATAGTGGCCGGTTCCCGATTGAACCAGTCGAATTGGCCGGTCCGGTCCGGTTTTGACAACTTTAATAATAATATATTAATTAAATTTTGTTAATATATATAAAATTATATAAAATATATATTAATATATTAAATCAATTTTATTTTATTTTTAATATTTAAACTATTTAATTAAAAATAATTCTGGCTGCCGACGGTCGGACACGGAACGGCCGGCCACCGCAGATGGCGGCCTTTGGTCTGGATGTCCAGCCTTGGCGACTACCTGTGGCGCGGCCGCAATAACAGGGCCGGCCCGCGCGAGACCAAGCCGCATTCAGCAGCCGGCTTCTTCAAATTCGGCTGGCATAGGTCGCCGGCCAGCGTGCAAAATTTAAAAAAAAAAAATATTGAAAACGTAACAAAAAAAACGTAGCCCTGGAATGAATAATCCCTTGCCTGTACGTGAGGGATGTCCTGATATTTTTTTGGAATTTTTCGTAGGTTGGACGAGAGAGAGAAAGTGTAGAGAAAAGAAAGAGAGATTTTATTTAAAAAAAAAAACTGAAAAGACAAAATGGTCTTTAGAGGGAGGTAATTAGTAATAGGGGTGGTGAACAGTAACACCCATATTCTTAGTAACACCCATATTCTTTTTGCAAAAAGGAAAAAAAAAAGGGTTTAAAGGAGAGAAAGGAGCAGTCTGACAGGATCAGCGGCGGATCCAAAAATTTTCATGAGCCATGGAAAAAAGTAGTTTGAAGAAATTTTTAACCATATTGCACAAAGTAAGTACTTATATTAAGAACTAAATAAATCGTTGGACTAATCGGGTGTTGAGGGTTTCCCTATAGAATTTTCCTTTGACTTGATGCTAAAAAATGAAATTGAGAATGAGGTCTGGTTATTTTACTTTAAGTTTTTATTATTAAGAAATATACCAAAAATATTTTACAATCTTTTTTCCTTCATTTTTTTGTTATAAGAAATAAACAAGTCATTTTGAAATATAAATTATTAATTTAAGAAAATCTTAAATGTTATCGTTTTTGTTCTTGTTATTTTATAAAGATTTTCTTATGGAATATCTTTTATAGATAAATGTAGAGTTTTTTCAATCATTGTCAATTTTCAACGCTTTGTAATTCTATATGCTAATTCCTAAGGATTCGAAATAGTTCATACAAATATTGATCTTTATCCAGAACTTTCAAATTTAAACGTAACTTAAATTGTAAATATATTTTAAAAGTCAATAACATTTGTATATATTATCATTTTTTATATATGATAACTTAAATTAGTCGTATTTTTACAATTTATAATCTGACATTCATATTTTATAGGTAAATTAATTATATCTATCTGATCTCTATCAATAAAAATTGAAATACTTATCAATTATAATTGAAAAACAATAAATTTTTTTAATCAAACTTATTATATGGGATAAGTACTATAATGTTATAATGACCGATGAGGTGTATCAATTTAATAAAAACAATAATGTTATTTTGTAAAAATTATTTAAAATTTTAAAATACAAATGTTTATTTATATTTTTAAACATATTAAATATAAATTTTTTATTAGCGCATATTAACTATAGCACAAAAAATTGAGCCCGGGCAATTGCCTAAGCCCACCTATATCTGTGTCCGCCGAATCATTTATTTAAATAAAATAAACAAAAAATCTGTGGAAAAAAATAATTCAAAAAAAAAGTTTTTGGAAAAAATTCAAACAGCCGGATTCTCAAAATCCGTTTTTCATTGAAACACGGATTTTGAGAATCCGTTTTTAGTTATTTATTATTTATTTATTTATTTATTTTTAATAAAAAAAATAAAAACGGATTTTGAAAATCCGTTTTGAATTTTTAATTATTTTTTATTTATTTTTTATTTTAAAAAAAAAAACTTAAAAACGGATTTTCAAAATCCGTTTTCAATTTTTATTTTAGTTTTTTGTTTTTTAAAAGATAACGGGCGATTACACTATAATTGACCGAGATTGTAGTAATTCAACTTCAACATGCCACAGACTCTTTTCACTGACTGGTGGGGAGATATTTATTCTGCCACCCAAAGAAGATGCATCATTGACAGAGCCAGCCTATCTTCATATATCCTTTGGTGGCTCTGGAAGACAAGAAACGTTTGGATCTTTCAAAACAAGAGAATCACAGAGAGACAGATTGCAGAGGGGGCAAGGCAGGAGTGGCTCAAATTTGCAGAAATCCAGAACAAATGCCCTAAAATTGTTAGACCATTTTCATTGTCTTCAAGTGATCCAGAAGAAGGCTTTTCCCTGGAGGTAGGACATTGGTCTTTGAATGTCAGTGCCTCATCTTGTTTTGGTGAACAACTGAAGATGGTGTGTTGGGCAGAAAATGTTGAAGAGGAGAATCAAGAGTGGATTGAATTGACTTGGTATGATGGCTGCAAGGAAGGCATGGAAATGATGGCTATTAGGTGGGCAATGAAGAAAGCCATTCATTTGGGCTGGACTCATTGCACATGCACCATTTTAAACAAAGTGTTATTTTCCAAGCTCAACAAGCAGCTGAAGCAATTCCAATCTTGCTGCAGCACAATTGCAGATGACATATTTGATCTTGTCCACCTTTTTTCTTCTTTTAACTTTCTGCTTAAGATATGAATCATTTGGTTAGTACTGTTGGTATTATTGTAATGAAGGGGTGCATTTGGACACCTCTGTGTTTGTACTGCTAGCAGTTGTTAGCCCGTTTGTAAGACATTCTTGAGTTTTATGAAATCTTTGTTGTCGTTGGAAAAAAAAAAAACTTCAATTGTACTAATTCGAATTCGATTACACTATAATTGACCGAGATTGTACTAATTCGACTTCAATTGGACTAATTCAAAGTCGATTACACTATAATTGACCGAGATTGTACTAATTTGACTTCAATTAGACTAATTCGAGGTCGATTACACTATAATTGACCAAGATTGTACTAATTTGACTTCAATTGGACTAATTCGAGGTCGATTTTACTATAATTGACCGAGATTGTACTAATTTGACTTCAATTGGACTATATTTAACCGAGATTGTACTAATTTGACTTCATTTGAACCAATTCGAGGTCGATTACACTATAATTGACCGAGATTGTACTAATTTGACTTCAATTGGACTAATTTGACTTCATTTGGACTAATTCGAGGTCGATTATACTATAATTGACCGAAATTGTAATAATTTGACTTCAATTGGACTAATTCGAGGTCAATTACACTATAATTGAGCGAGATTGGACTAATTTGACTTCATTTGGACTAATTCGAGGTCGATTACACTATAATTGACCGAGATTGTACTAACTCGAATTCAATTGGACTAATTCGAGTTCGATTACACTATAATTGATCGAGATTGTACTAATTTGACTTCAATTGGACTAATTCAGGTCGATAGTGTAATCGAACTCGAATTAGTCCACTTGAAGTCGATAGTGTACAATCTCGGTCAATTATAGTGTAATCGACCTCGAATTAGTCCAATTGAAGTCAAATTAGTACAATCTCGGTCAGTTATAGTGTAATCCAACTCGAATTAGTCCAATTGAAGTCAAATTAGTACAATCTTGGTCAATTATAGTGTAATCGAACTCGAATTAGTCCACTTGAAGTCGGATTAGTACAATCTCGGTCAATTATAATGTAATCGACCTCGAATTAGTCCAATTGAAGTCGGATTAGTACAATCTCGGTCAATTATAGTCCAATTGAAGTCAAATTAGTCCAATTGAAGTCGAATTAGTACAATCTCGGTCAATTATAGTGTAATCGAACTCGGATTAGTTCAATTGTAGTCGAATTAGTACAATCTCGGTCAATTATAGTGTAATCGAATTCCAATTAGTCCAATTGAAGTTAAATCAGTCCAATTGAAGTAAAATTAATACAATCTCGGTCAATTATAGTGTAATCGAACTCGAATTAGTCCAATTGAAGTCGAATTAGTACAATCTCGGTCAATTATAGTGTAATCGACCTCGAATTAGTTCAAGTGACGTCGAATTAGTACAATATCGGTCAATTATAGTGTAATCGAACTCGAATTAGTCCAATTGAAGTCAAATTAGTCCAATTGAAGTAAAATTAGTACAATCTCGGTCAATAATAGTGTAATCGACCTCGAATTAGTCCAATTAAAGTCGAATTAGTACAATCTCGGTCAATTATAGTGTAATCGACCTCGAATTAGTCCAATTGAAGTCAAATTAGTACAATTGAAGTCAATTATAGTGTAATCGAACTCGAAGTAGTCCAATTAAAGTCAAATTAGTACAATTGAAGTCAATTATAGTGTAATAGAACTCGAATTAGTCCAATTGAAGTCGAATTAGTACAATCTTGGTCAATTATAGTGTAATCAACCTCGAATTAGTCCAATTGAAGTGGAATTAGTACAATCTCGGTCAATTATAATGTAATCGACCTCGAATTAGTCCAATTGAAGTCGAATTAGTACAATCTCGGTCAATTATAGTGTAATTCGACTTCAATTGGACTAATTCAAGGTCGATTACACTATAATTGTCCGAGAATGTACTAATTTGACTTCAATTGGACTAATTCGAGGTCGATTACATTATAATTGACCGAGATTGTACTAATTTGACTTCAATTGAAATCCGTTCCATTTATAATTTTTTTTATTTTTTATAATCTGTTTTTATTTTTATTTGTTTTCTATTTATTTATTTTAAAAAAAAATAAAAACGCATTTTCAAAAAAAAAAACTGAAAAACGGATTTTTAAAATTTGTTTTTCATTTTTTATAAATAAATTAATAAAAAATAAATAAAAAATAAAAATAAATAAAAAACAGATTTTGAAAATCCGGTCGTTTGATATATTTCCACAACATTTTTTTTATTTTATTTTTTGCCACAATTTTTTATTTTATTTTTTATTTTATATAAATAAACCACCCTGTGTCCGCCCCTGGTCAGGGTTCAACAGTCTTCACTCCACACACACAAACACTTTCCCCTCTCTCTCTCCCTCTCTACTCACACCGGCATTTTTGGTGCCTCTCAACACGCCATGAATTCGGCTCTCTTACTATCCGCAGTACCACTGCTACTCATTTATGGTAATCACTTGCCACCTTCTCATTTCAATTTCCATAACCACTCTCATTACCCCTAAACTACGAATCACATTATTTTTATTTTTTTTGTCCAAAACGCAGCGTCCCTATTCTTGCCGGCGGCGTCTTCCATCGGAGTCAACTACGGCCGATTCGGGAACAACCTCCCCCACCCGGAGTCCGTCGTCACCCTTGTCAAGTCCGTCGGCGCCACCCGCCTGAAGCTCTACGACGCCGACCCCCGCGTCCTCAAGGCCTTCGCCAACACTGGCATTGAGTTCATCGTGTGCGTCGCCAACGAGTACCTCGCCGGAATGCGCGACCCGAAGCAAGCCCTCGCCTGGGTGAAGACCAACGTCCAGTGCTATCTACCATCGACCAAAATCACCTCCATCGCCGTCGGCAACGAGGTCCTCTCGCAGAACGACACCGCTCTCTCGGCCAATCTCCTCCCGGCCATGGAAAACATCCACTCCGCCCTCGTCTCCCTCAAACTCGACAGCCTTATCGCCGTAACCACCGCCCACAACCTCGCGGTGCTGGAGGTCTCGTATCCTCCCTCCGCAGGCGCGTTCCGGCGAGATCTGACTCAGACGCTCTCCTGCATCCTCGACTTCCACACCAAGGTCGGCTCTCCTTTCCTCATCAACGCCTACCCTTACTTCGCCTACAGAGCCAACCCCAAGCAGGTGTCCCTGGATTTCGTCCTCTTCGAACCGGGCTCGCCGGAGATGGTGGACCATGGGTCCGGGCTGAGGTACGAAAATATGTTCCACGCCCAGATCGACGCAGCCTACTCCGCCGTGGAGAGGCTGGGATACAGAAATGTGCGGCTCCAGATCTCGGAGACGGGATGGCCTTCCAAGGGAGACGCGGATGAGGCTGGGGCGACGCCGGAGAACGCCGGAAAGTATATCAGGAACCTCATGAAGCTGATTGCCACCAAAAAGGGGACGCCGTTGAGGCCCAATCAGGACCTCAACATCTACGTGTTCGCCCTGTTTAACGAGAATCAGAAGCCCGGCCCGACTTCTGAGAGGAATTTTGGGCTTTTTAAGCCCGATGGGACGCCTGTGTACAATCTGGGGTTAAACACGACCACCACTAACACTACCGATTTCACTCCCCCATACGACTCCACACCCCCATCTGCCACAATTGGGACCTCTTCTGATGGCTACCTTGCTATTACTGCTGATGATTCGGTCAGTACTCTCTTTATTTTTCAGCTGCATTTGGGGTGAGTAAATTTATGGGGATTTAGATAAACTCTACATCTCAGCTCATCTCTCGTTATTCATATCATATTGATTACAAAACAACCATCTCTAGTCTGAATGTAAGTGAATTTTCCACCTTTAGTTTATCACTGGGCAGTGTCTTGAAGATAATATTATGTTTGGAAACTGTTGTGTAGTGCAAAATGAAGTTTCACCGTGGCATTCGTATCAAAGATTGTGGGTGAAACTTCAACAAGGTTTTTTTGATCTCTATATTCCTCCAAGGGTTAAAAAGATTATAGTATCACAGAACAATGTCCTGTTACGAGTTGGATAATAACGAGTGCAATTTTCTTTTTCTGGTCCTTTTAAGTTTTTTTTTTTTTTTAAGCTCGTTTCTGATTAGGTAATATCAAATTTTGCAAATCTTGGAGACTGGTGCAGTTCTAAACACCTCGATATTTTTCTAGCTTTTCTTGAAGTTCATCTTTCTCCATATTTTTCTAGCTTTTCTTGAAGTTCATCTTTTCTCATATTACACTTGTCTATAAAGCCAGCACACGGGTTAACATCTAAGCTTTGGATCCACCTAAATGCTTCCATTTTCTCGTAGCCGTTTGGTTTTCCACTAAAGGATGTGAAATTACAGGACTTGGGAAGTGAATTGGTACTATCTTGATGAAAGACACTATCTGCATTGGAAAAAAAGGGAAAAAAATATATTCAATCACATAAACGTTTATAGATTCAATAATATCAAAAAGGAAAATAAAAGGTGGTTTCATTTCTTGAAGTTGAGGAAAGGCATCTGGGCAACTAGATTTTACAGGATTGCTTTATCGGATTCCCTATACTGCTGTGCTTGTTTTATGTTTATAGTTTTATTCTAGGTAGTGTCCCACTTGATCATAAGATTATCAATTTCTGATGATATCTTGTTTGAATTACAGGAGAGAATTCCTTTCCAAGCCAAGTTATCGTTTTTGTGCCTGGTGTTCACAGCCATTTTAGCATTCCAGCTCTGATTATTGTTAATCCCAATCGTAGTTTTGATCTATAGGGGCCGACATAGAGCTTCAGGTCTGGAAAAAGTGAGATTCCTTTGATTTTCTTAATTTCATATATGCAAAATATCTTTGGAGTCGTAGTATTTTTTCTTTAACTAGGAGCATGAAAAAGAGTATCAACAACGGTAACTTACTCTAATTTAATATTCAAGTTATGGGTGGTTGGGTTTTTTACAACCTTTTTAGAGCTATCAAGAATTTGGGAGCTGCCTAATTGAGTGCTGTTGGGAAAATGATGAAGATGCATTTGCACCTTTTTAGTCTTTTAGGCTGGCATTGAGTCTAATGCTTTTCCCTCTTGTAATTTTTTTTTGTGCTGGTGTGTTATGAAAAGCAGGACTGCACATGTTGGATTTTGTTCTTGCTTATGTGTTCTCGGATATTAGATGCTAATGATGGGCCCACCCTTCTTTTTAATCATTCAAAGTTTTTTTACTTAATTATTTGGGGTTTATCTCTCTCTCTCTATATATATATATATAGGATCACGCTCCGGTGAAAATGATGCTTAATGCGAAAAATAAGAATACATCGTGACCATTAAATCGAATGATCTAATGGCTGAAAAAGAAAACCAAAATTATACCTTCATTAAGGGTATTATAGACATTTTATCACCAACCATTAACCAGTGGGTCCCACCATAAACAACTAATCCAACCCTCACCACCAATATACCACACACGTTTTCTTCAAATTAATCACTCTCTCTCTATCTCTCTCTCTCTCTCTCTCCTTCTCTCTCTCACACACACACGAAACACACACAGACACGCTTTGCAGAGCCGGATCTTGCTCGTCTCTGTTGTCACCGAGCTCCGACGCCTTATCCAACACCCATGTCGCGGTCTACTACGTCGTCACCCCTGAGAGTGCTCCGTCTGAGGCCATGACGTCACCGTCACGCCGCCTCCGGCATCGATAACTCGCCACCACCGCCGTCCAAAGCTGCAACCGGATCCGTCGCCTGTCATCATCGATCTGCTACCATCACCGTCGGATCGTCGCCATCACACCTTCATCCCGCAGCCCATTGTTCTCAGTTGCTCCGACCGCCGTCGTCTGATCCGGCGATGGAGTTCTCGTCATCGTCGTCCTCCCCTCCGTCAGCCACTGCCCGTCACGTCTCTGTCACATTCCTCCACAACATAGCTCACCGACTGCACTTGTACATGGTGAATGTGTCTCCGACCGTCCACTGTCACCATCGTGACTGTCATTCTTTCTCGTCGCAAGGTCTGGGTGGGGCAGAGAATGGCCGGGAGGTTCACGGCGGCAAGTAGAGTGGCTGAAGTGACGGGGCTGAACTGAGATTGGAAATTAGTGGGGGTGGAGTTTTTTTTTTTAAAAAAAAAATTGATAGGTTATAGGGGTTTGGTTGCAATTTCAATAAATTTCAATATATTACATTTTAGTTCATAGGTTAAATGTGTAATTTTAGAAATTTGTGAATTTAATATTGTACTTTAATAACTTTATTTATATTTCAATTTAACTCTTGTGTCAAATTTGTAATTTACGAAAAGTATATAAAAGTATACTATTTTTATATATCTTTTAAATACATAAAATAATTAAAAAAAAATATTAAATAAAAATAAGATAAATTATTAATATATTATTGAACATATTGCACATTATTGACTGACGGATTGCACTTTTGTCTTAGTGATATTGCACCTTAGCATAACAAATGCACGGTGATGTTAATTAGATTAATAATATAAAATATTAAACACAAAAAATATAAATACTAAATACATTTTTATTACATAAATAATATGATAGTTGCACAATAATTTTAATTAAAATACACATGATTAAAATAATTTTAAAATTGAAATGCATGTTAGTGTTCAGTTTCGATTTGATTAGGACGAAGTTCGGTCACATAGCGGCCGAAAAACGTGCACATTAATGACTGTCAGGTTGCAATTTTATGTCTATGATATTTCACTTTGGCATATGTACTGACGAAATTGAATATAAAAATTATATATATAAATATATATATTTAAAATCCAGAAAAAATATTTTTTAAAATATATTTTATATTTTTCTAACCTGAAAATAATATAAAAGTACATAAAAACATAAATTAATAAATATATTATTATAATAATAAACAATAAAATATTTAATTGTTTAAGTTAATTTAATGTACAATTATACCTATTAAAACTAGTTTCCGAATGCACATAATTTACCTAGGTTACTATAGAGTAGTGCACTTCATAAAACAATATGTTGCACTTTATAAAGAAAATGTTGCACTATATAAAACAACAAGCTACATTTTATCACCGCACAATTAACATCAATAGATCCCCCAAAAAATACTAAACAACATAAACCTAATTTTAGCATCCATCACATCATCAATCCACAAAAAAATACAAGCTTGTTAACGTACCAAAATTACAGTAGTGCACTTTAAATATTAGCACATTGTACTTTAAAAAGCAACACGTGGCACATTATAAAACAATACGCTGCACTTTATCGCGACTATCAGATCGTACAAATGTTGAGCTAAACCGACCGAACTCAAAAAATTTTCAACCAAACACAATATAAAAATGATAAATAAAATTATTAACTTACTAAATATAATTTTAACAGAAATAGCAAAATATTTCTCCCAACAATAACGATAAATTTCGAACAAGTTAAAAAAAATTGTATTTCAGATCGGTTATCCGACTTTACTTTTAAAATTACGGTTATTTCAGTTCGATGTTGGCTTTAGTTTTTAAAATAAACAAAATAATTGAATCGACCAAACTTTATAAACAATTATTATTATTTGTTTATTTGTACTTTTTTTCTATGTCAGTGCACATTAGAGTTACAAAAATTGCACATTAATGACTATCGGATTGTACAATATCAGCCGAATCATTGCACAACATTCTTTAGACGAATTGCATATTAATGATTCTCAGACTGCATATTATCGATCAAAATTGACATATCTAAACAATTTTGGTTCAACTATATATATGTCAGTTCGATAATATGTTTTTTAATTTTCAAAGTTCATTTATGTGGGTTTAATGTGAAATTTATTTTTTTGTTCATATGATTTCGGAAGTTCGTTTCAATTATCTTAATTTTGTTATTTCTTAATTTTTTTAATATGCATATTCTCATGTAATATTTTGTATTTTACGAAATGATATTGTACAAGTATAGATCAATTTTACAAATTACATGAGCAACAACCTATCAAATTTCAAAAATTGCAAATAGACCCCCAATATTTGTCTAATTTCCAACACAAGCACCACAAATCAAATATGTGTTTTACACCATTTCCTAGCAATCTAATATCAGATCTCGTCTCTTCAACACTAGCACCAAAAATCCAATTCGTCGTCTTTGCCACATAGCACTGTCGTCTCTTCAAGGTAGCGCCGTTGCCTTGCCGTCATCGTCTCTCCCGCCGGTCACCCTCGCCGAAATGGAGGCTCTCGAAGTGAAGGTCGGCTAGATGTTCGGGGGTGGTTTAGCGGCCTCGAAGCGGCGGCGTTCCTCCGTGTTGCTGGCGGATCTGGTGGAGGCTAGAAGCTTGGTTGTTGGAATCGGTGGTGGTGGGGTTGTTGACGGGAAGCCGGCTGGTACGTGACGATGGTGGTGGGTTGTGGTGGATGCTGGGCTGATGTCGATCGGGCGGTGGTGCTTGGGTGGCCGGGCGGCGTCGCTTCGAAGGTCGGGTGGCTACGCTGTTATGGCCAGTGGCGATGTTTTAATAGTCGGCGGCAGCGCTGATATGGCGTAGTCGGACGGGAGGGGCTGTATTCGTCGGAGATGATTTCGTTGAAGCCGTGGTCGGACATACTGTGACCTGCGGAGACGGCTGGCTCTGGCGGAATCCGGTCTGGCAGTTGGTGGTGACGGGATCGGCAGGGGCTGTTGTGGCGGCGGTTTGGTGGCGGAAGACGGAGGCTGCCGCCTGCCGGCGGCAATGATGTGTTGGTGACTGTGTGTTGTGTGTGTTATCCGCCGGTTGTATATTTTTGTGTGGCAAGTGAACTGTGTGTGTATTGTGTGAAAGAGAGAGGTGGTGGGACCCACAAGGTAGGTGGTGGATAGAGATTATGTGAGATGACATAAATGTCCTTAATGAGTGGTCAAACATATATATTTGACCACTATATGACTACTTATTTACTAAATATTTAAGATTTGGCTCCATCAAAATCATTGATATGTTAAATCCAATGGTCCAGAATCATTTTTATTTCTTTCACTATCTACCATTCTCATAGGATCATATGAGAATGGTAGATATATATATATATATATAGGGTCGCGCTCCGGTGAGTATGACTCTTAATGCGAGAAATAAGAATAAATCGTAACCATTAGATTAGATGATCTAATGGATAAAAAAAGTCACAATTATACTTTCTTTAAGGGTAATGTAGTAATTTTCATATACAAATAGTGGGACCCAAAACACACCAACTCTCCCCACACCCACGTGGGTCAAACCCACTCACCTCACCAATCTCTCTCTCTCACACACACACTCTAATCTGTACAGACACACATTGAACACGACTCACACACACACACACACGCAGGCTGGGTCGCCACCGCCGGCTTCCGCCACTGCCAACGTCGGCCTCCGCCGGCCACCGGTCCCCCACCATCCGCAGCCGGTCACTGCCTCCCGCCGCCTCTAGCACCTTCCTCCACCTTGGATCCCACGATCGTCTTCTTCTAATGGGCATCATCTACTCCGTCGACGTCGATTTCCTCGGAATCTGTTGGATGAAAGTCGGAATATGACCACGCAAATCTCGCCGGAGTCAAAACCTCGACTCCGAGACTCGGCATTCTGGCGGGAAAATAGACTTGGATGCTTCGTCGGCGAGCAGAAGAACGTCATCTCCGGAGGGAGCGGATGACTAAACTGCCGGAAAATTGGCCGGCGAGGTTGACGAGAACGGACTGTGCAATGTACTTGTTTTTTGAGAATTAGATATTATTCAGGGACTTGGTTGTAATTTCAAAATTTTTGATAAATGTTAATTTAGTCCCTAGGCCAAATGTGTAATTTTGAAAACTTTATGAAACATAGGGTGCAGAATATCAACTAGCATCGATGCTTTCAAAAATGTGGTGACCGGTGACAGAGGAGTAGAAAAGTTCAAATTGGAAAATTGGTAGTAGTTTTTTTTTTCCAACCGTACATGTATAAATGCGTGTGTTTAATTGGGCTGTACCCATGGTTTGCTTTTTCAATTTTGTTTTTTTTTTGGTCATATAAAGCTAATGCCCATCATTGCTTTTTCAATTTTTTTTTCTTTTTTTTTTGACATATAAAGCTAATTTGCCCATCAAACTATGTAAGGTCGAGATGCAAGAACAAGATCCTTGATGAAAAGGTTATTGTAATAAAAAAATATTGAGTTAATAAATAAAAATTATATCCTATAAATAATAAATTATTTTGATTTTTTAGGTTA